AACCTTTCATATCAAAAATTAAAATAACGCAACAACATTCGATATGCGACGAATATCAGTATAGGCAGCGTTTCAAAATTACTGGTAATGGAGTATTATAATGATTAACACAAAAAAATAGTTTGAAACAAGGAAGTCTAAACAAAAAGTTTTAATTACTAAATCTAAAAACACTTTTGAAAAATATTATCTCAAATCCTGTCTTTTATCAACATAGTTTTTTCAATGAAATAGAGTTTTTATTTCTAAAAATAATATTATAAAAATATATTTTGAGTGGTTTCATTAAAATATATTTTTATAATATTATTTTTATAATATTATTATTTTAATGTGGACGCGCATGTAGGAGAAGAGGAAGGAATACCCGGAGGAAAATGGGGGAGAAGGTAAGGAGATAGGAGCGTAGGATCTGGGTGGTAGTCGGTTCCTAGCGCTATGTTAACTATCGCTCGGAGATAGTGGACCTGAGATGCTAATTGGTCAGGATCTCTGGTGTCAAAAATCGACTCGAGCGTTTGGAAAATGCTGTCGATAGTTATTCCAATATTGTGACAATAACCCACTAAAACTGCATTTCCATAATAAGGGGAATTAATAAAATGGTTATAGGAAGGGTAGATGATAAAGAAAGTAAAACTTACTGCTGGTTCCAAAGCAGAGAGAGAGAGAGAGAGAGAGAGAGAGAGAGAGAGAAAGCAACCAAAAGAAAATGTTGCTGATCTGCGTAAGTGTGCAACGCTGGCTCTGTCGCTTTCGGATTTCCAATTCGTCAACGGCGATGTTACACACAACTATGTTCTCTTTTTCAGGCAGCGGATAATAATTAAACTTCGAAAGAATGTTTAGACCAACTCCACGTCTAAATGCCTGAATGTAAAAATTAAACGACAAAAGAAAGATCTTTGGATGCCGAATTTGTGGTTCTAACTCGGGTGCTGGTCAGGCGAATAATGTGCTAGCCTTTTCATTTTACTTAAAACGTCACCTCGGTTGAGAGGATGGAGTTGTGGAAATTGTGTCAGGGGTCTAAGGTCTATGTCCATCTATTAGAACTTTGTTGTTGACATTTTTGGAGGTGGGGTTTTAGAGCTGCGTCAGGGGTCCAAGGTTTATTAGAACTTTTCCAGAGGTGGGATTTTGGAATTGCGTTGCATTGTTGTAAAGGATGAGGTATCTATGGCGATAGGAGATTTCGTCATCTCGTTAGGTTTAGTGAGAATTATTGGGTAATATGACGGGACGTGGAAAAGTTGTAAGTTCGTGAGGATTAACGAAATCAGATATCGACTGGTCAGTCCGGGAAATGACTCAGTGGATTTTCCTGACAAACAACTAGAGGACTTTGGTCTAGGTAACAAAAAAGGAAATGATCGAGCACGATATACCGACACTTCAAGCACGATGTCGCGGAACATGTTTGTTGAATATAATATTTAAAGTGTAGCGAGCAACATAAAATCAATTCGCTCCATTTATAAAAGGATCTAGAATTCGCGAAGTCCGCAGGACGTAACAGTAATAAATGGAGAGGAGGTATTTAAAAAAATAATTCTATATTTCTTTTTTAAATTTTAGCAAATCGTTTTAAAGAGTATAAATAACTTTACAACTTTTGTGTAAAACATTTTTTCATGTACATTGTAGTTTAGAGAATAATTACAAACAATGAGAAAGTCTGTTTTCTTTTATGGATTGTTTCTATCTTTAACCGTTGAGATATATCATTAAAAACATATAGGTCTAATATTTTTTAATGCTCTGTGACATATTCAAATTATGAAAATTGGTAAGCGACGGTTCCGATTCTTGTATTTTCTTGTAACCTATAAAGGTGACACACGAAAGTGAGATTTTCGACAATATATCACTCATAGATTATATGTTGTGAGTGTCTTAAATTATATTATATATAATAATTATTATATTAATAGAATATAATTATAATAATTAATATAATAAAATATAATTATTATAATAATTATTATAATTTAAAGAAATAAAATAAAATGAAAAATGAAAAAAGATTGGATATTTTTACAAATAATTTGACACATATCATATGCATTCGTAAAGGTGACTACACTTTTGAATGTAGTTAAAAATTAAAGGTGCCAAAGAGCATTTTCGTCATTTATTATTTTACTATATTGATTTGAAGAAAACAGCTGCCGAAAATCACCGATTCATCTCAAAAATTTATTCTGAGTCTGCTCCATCAATTATTAGGTGAGCAACTAAGTTTCCGGGTTTTTTATCAATGAAAAGTGGAAAATTTCAAGAAAAATACAAAAAATGGTTTATTCAAAGTATCGTCCCTCGCTAGCTACACATTTTTGCCATCTCTCTGGCAATACATGAATACCGTGACGATAAAACGACGCGTCTTTGGACTGAAACCATTCATCCAATCAATTTTGCACTCTTCGAAATTGGCCAAGTATTATTCAGCCAAGCCATGCGTCGTCGACCGGAACAAGTGATAATCGGAAGGGGCCAGGTCTGGCGAATACGGCAGGTGCGGTAGCAGATCCCATTTCAGCGTTTTGATGGTATCCTGGACGATGAAAGTGCGATGGCACGGAGCGTTATCGTGTTGTAATATCACTCGTTCGTGTCTCGTGTCCCATTCTGGCCGTTTTTCGAGCAATGCATGGTTCAAATTGATCAGTTGTTGTCGGCAGCGATGCCCATTGACAGTTTCGCCCGGTTTCAGCAGCTCATAATACATGATTCCTTTCTGGTCCCACCAAACGCAGAGCATTGTCTTCTTTCCGAAGCGATTTGGCCGTGCCGTCGATGTTGATGCTTCGCCAGGTGAAAGTCACGATTTTTTGCGTTTGGGATTCTCGAAATATGTCCACTTCTCATCGCCAGTAACAATTCGATGCAGGAAACTCTTTCTTTCATGCCACAAATGCAAAATTTCGGAAGTGGCTCTTCGATTTTCTATCTGTCTCTCAGTCAACTCATGCGGCACTCATTTTCCTTCCATTTGAATTTTTCCCATAGCATGTAAACGTTTGGAAATATTTTGGCGAGTCAGGTTTAATGCCTCCGCAAATTGATCTTGTGTTTGCATATCATCTTCATCCAATAACGCTTGCAGATCGGCGTCCTCAATTGTTTTTGGTCTTCCGGAGCGTTCCTTGTCCTCAGTGTCGAAATCGCCACTTCGGAAGCGTTTCTTCGAAACCAATCTTCACAGGTAGTTTTCGATTGTGCATGTTCGCCGTAGGCTTCCTCAAGCAAACGACGTGTTTCAGCTGCACTTTTTTTTTAAGTTAAAGCAGAAAAGCAAAGCTTCCCGCAAATGCTGTTTATTTGGCACAAAACTCGACATCTTCGTTGTTAGAAAAAATATTTTTACGTTGCGATATGTGTTGGTATTACGACTGATTATTGTTAACAGATGTCCAAGCTATAAAAAAACACAACTTCAGACATGTATGTCGACTACATGTGTCGTTAGCGCCATCCATGTGTGAAACCCGGAAAGTTAGTTGCGCACCTAATATAATAAAACATATGAGGTTTCGACAGTTCAAAAGTGATGATTTTAATTTGAAAGACAAAAAACGTTCAAGTCAATCAAAAAATTTTTGAAGATGTCGAATTGCATCGTTGAATGAAAACTCGGTTCAAATGTCTCAAGAATTAGCTGAAGCAATAAATATTGACAAATCAACCGATTATGATCATTTACATTCAATGGGAAATATTCAAAAAGAAGGCAATTGGATTCCATATAAATTGTCCGAATTGACTTCAAAATCGTTTAACCACTTGCACTGTATTATTTTCTTGTCACAAAAAGAAGCACTTTTTGTACAACTTGTATTGTAACTGGCGATGAAAAATAAATCTACTATGATAACCTTAAGCGTAAAAAATCGTGACTAAATCCAAGTCAATCATCAACATCGACTCCAAGATATATCATCAATGGAAATAAGGTTTCATTGAGCATTTGGCGGGATATGAAAGAAGTATCGTAAATTTTGACCTGAAACTGAATCAAACAGTCATTAACCATTACTAACAATAACTAATAACAACTATTAAGCATAACCAACAACTAATTAATTTGAATCGTGTTTTGAATCAGAAATATCCAATAATAGTTTCAAGAAAACGCAAAATCATTTTGTTCCACGATAATGCTCGACCACATATTACAAAAGCAGTTTAAGATACGTTGTCGGCATTCCAATGGGGAGTCTTAATTATATACGCCGCGTATTCACCAGACTGTGCTTCTTCAGATTATCACTTATTTTGACCGATGTAGCATAGCCCTGCTGACTTCAAAATACTTCAAAGCCTATAAAGAAATAAAAAAACGAATTAATGAATGGACTACTTCAAAGGACGAACATTTTTTTATTGTGGAATTCACTTATTGTCAGAAAAGTGGAAAAAAATTATAGTTAACGATGGAAAATGTTTTGAGTAAAATATAATCTAACATCGCTTTAAAATAAACGAGGTTTTTTTCAAAAGACTAACCCTCAAGACTAACTGGGACACCTAATGCATTCTTACACTTCATTTGTGCAAAAAATGCGACGAATCATTTGTAAAACACACGGGAACTTTTCCTTCTTATATTCCAATCTTACTATTTACGTTATGCCGTCTCTGGTATGTACAGTTGGACATTTAACTTTTTAGATGTAGTAAATAGTCAATTCTTTGACTACAACATAGAAAACGTCATTTCTACTTTTATATTCTACTTACATTTCCGTTTTCTAGGGTGATCAATATCAGCGAATTTATAATTTTTAGAAATAAATTTGTCAAATAATCTTATTTTCCGATAATGTTACCGATAAGCAACTTTTTAATAATCTTCAAGCTATTGATGATAAATGATATATTAATGGAGTCGATTATTCTTATGTAACAGACAAGTTTTTCTTCCAAGAAACTGAATTCATTTCAGTTTTATGTCAACGAATATGTCTATTCGAGACAGTACGACTTCTACCTCCACGATGTGTAGACAAAGAGTAGTTTATTACACCATAGTGGTCCTATTATTAAAAATAACCTATTCCTATGTTTTGGCTGAACAAAATCACTTAATTCCAGAACAATGGGCATTAGAAGGCATGCCCTTTTTATCAATTATTTTTGCAACGTCGGAATATTTGCCGGCTGGGCCGGAAGACACACGGAGATTTTTGCATGACCTACTTAAAGGTTCTCTATGGGCTACGCAAAGTTAGTTTATGTAAATTATAATATGTTTTGCAAGTTAAAACTCTAGAAAAATGCAATGGTATTTGGTATTTAATGTATGTAATGATATTTATATAATACGATAATGTAAGAAACAAATCTGACAAGAAAAAGACACTTCACGTGAAACAATGTTTGAAACAAAAGTTATAGGGTTCAATGTAGCCATGGTCAATAGTACTATTTCTAATTCTTGATATTATTTTTTTAAACTATACGTCAATTACCTTTGTTTGTAAAATAACGTGTGGAAAGTACCAATATCAATGTTAAAATTGAATTAAAACATGAAAAGATTCAAATTTATTTAATTCATATAAGTTCTAATAAATCAATTTACTTTAGTGTTCCGAGTGCTCAACTTGTGCACATTATTGACATAAGACCGTGAATATTAATGCGTAAATATTTTGTAAATACAATTTAAAAATCGTATTCCCCGATAGCCAAATCTAGCAGATATTACGCTGTGTCTGCTGAACATTTTGTCGACAAATTAGCAGCAAAATGTTTATCAGCAATGCTCATCTGCTAGTAAAGTATGATGACACATTAACGGCAGAAATTCAACAGGATCTGACATTCTGTAATTTAAAGTATTTAAAGTATTCCATTTAAAGTATTTAAATGGAATGTATTGCAAACATGCTCGATTTCTATCTCGCCTATCTGCTAACAAGTTATATTAGAACATACTATGTCAGCACACGATTTTCATATAGACACAGATGACTATTGATTTGCCATATTATTCTGACCGTATCTACTGCCAACCTGACGTCAAAATTTCTAACATTTTACTTATTAAATTGATATTGATATATTTTGCATTCTACATGTGTGTGTGTGTGTGTATGTTCACACATATCTTTCGATATTCTGTTAAATTCTATTTCAGTGTTCGATTCTTCTACAAAATATCCGGATGGTATATTCTACGGACATACAAGACATCTAGGAAATTTTGATGAGTGTTATAACATACAAGTTAATATCACAGAAGAGGGTACCGATGTTCATGAAATTAATGGAAAATATTGCTTAATCGATATTATATATAAGAAGAAGCAAACTACATCAGTCCAACAAAAATCATCAGAAACACAATATATGAACAATTCCTTAGACATAACCAATTCTTTTTGGAAAGTATTAGAGGTATGTTTGTAACGCTGAACAAATTTTATAATAAAGAAATTCAAGTTACGCGGAGATTCACCTGATGAAACAACATTATTGTAGGATACTTATATAATTACTTCAGTATACTGACATAATGTAATTATAAATTACACACTTTAAGAATAATTATTATATTCAAATTTTAATATATTTTGAAAATATTATATATATTTTAAACGATTCAGATGATGTAAGATGTGTGGATGATACAAGAATCATAAAATCAAAGATTATATTGGTAACATACATAGTGTCCTATTATGATATTCAAATTAAATATCTGAATTTAAAACGTGTGAATTAAAATACTCGCGAAACATCTAACGGAAGAGATTTAATGTAATGATATTTATATAATACGATAATGTAAAATACAAATCTGACAAGAAAAAGATACTTCACGTGAAACAATGTTTAAAACAAAAGTTATAGGATTCAATGCAGCCATGATCAGTAATACTATTAGGTCAATCGGAAAGTTCTGTCCGTTTTCTTGCAAAACGTATGACTTTATTTAAGAAACAAAATGAAAAAGTACATCAATCAAAGTATTGTTCATCATTAGCAATGACTTTTTCCCATCTTTCGGTCAGCAAGCGAATTCCGCAGCGAAAGAATGACTCATCTTTGGAGGCTATCCAGTCAGAGACCCATTTTTCGACGTTTTCATAAAAATTGAAGCATTTCTCAGCAAGTGCGTGTGCTATCGACCGAAACAAGTGGTAGTCGGAAGGGGCACAGTCTGGTGAATAAGCCGCATGGGGTAACACTTCCCAGCGAAGTGCTTCTAACGTTCCCTTGACAGATTTTGTGACGTGAAGTCGAGCGTTGTCATGAAGCAAAATCACTTTATGCTGTCTCGTTTCATATTCTCGTCGTTTTCCGTGCAATGCTCGGCTCAAATGGATCATTTATTTTCTGTAGAGATCCCCTGTGACTGTTTGACCACTTTTCAACAGCTCATGGTACATAAGGGCATACCCTTCTGATCCCACCAAATACAGAGCATTGCCTTCTTTCCGTGGATATTCCGCTTTGGCTTCGATGTTGAGAGTTGGCCAAGATCGCAAGTAGTTTTTCGACGTTTGGGTTTGTCAAAATAAATCCATTTTTCATCCCCAGTGATGATACGATGTGAAAACCCCTTTCTTTGTTGCCTAGCAAGCAGAATTTCGCCTTTAGCCTTGTTTTTCGCCTTTCAACGTCTCTTGGCTTCAGTTCATATGGGACCCATTTTCCTTCCTTGTAAACCTTTCCTAAGGCTTTCAAACGATCGGAAATGACAGATTGAGCACAATTTAATGCTTCTGCAAGTTGCTTTTGCGTTTGACATGGGTCTTCGTCCACCAATGCCTGCAATTCTTCGTCTTCGAATACTTTTGATCGTCCAGAACGCTCTTTGTCCTCTACATCAAAATCATGAATTTTAAAACGTCGAAACCATTCTTTGCATGTTTTATTGGTAGGAGCATTATCACCATAAACTTCTATAAGCATTCGATGAGCTTCAGCTGCAGTTTTCCTCCAATTGAAGCAAAAGATTAATACTTCGAGCAAATGACGCTTATTTGGCACAAATTTCGACGTTTTCGATGCAATGAACAACGATGTTATTCATGCAAACGTATACTTTTATGTACTGAATGTTATTGACAGATGTCAAAACAAACTATTAAGCTTCGTTTAGACATTAGCAGACAGGTTAACGACAGTTCTAGCTATAGCTACTTGTCGCTAAACGGAGGGAACTTTCCGATTTACCTAATATTTTTAATTTTTATTTTAAATGGACAACTGGAATTCCAGATCGCAAATCGAATTTCTTAATTACAATTTAATACCTTCAGTCGCAAAATTAAATATTTAATTTAAATTGAAAAAGAAAAAAGTTGAACATCATATAAACATCGCTATGTCGCATAATTTTCCCTTTTCTCCATTGTAATAAACGTTTTGCTTACGGCATATCGCTCTAGGAATTAAATGATTACTTACTTATTAATACTTTTGCACTTAGCAATTGGAAGGTCACCCATATCGTATACGCAGAAATCGTATACAATTGGCTTTGTGTGTACCTGCAGTGCGGAAAATATAGAAACAGCCTTGAAAATATCTTTAAAAGAACTTGGAACAAGTAAAAATATTGAGTTGCAGACAAGTGTGCAACCTAATTCTTGTCATACAGTCAAAGAAGGGCCAAAGTTTACTCTTGGTGCCGGAGTTTACTGGTAAATTTTATTCTCATCACAAATGTGAAAAAAATATTGTACTTTAAATAATTTTTCAGTGTTGTACTTGTCGCTTTGCTGAGTCTGGTTATAATCAGCACTTGATACGACCGTACGCCAAGTGGAGATGGAAATAATATGTCTGTAATACGAAATATCATGTTACACTTTTCTGCTCGGAGAAATTATGAAAAAATTTTCAACGTAAATTATACACATACAGGGCTTGACTCTATATATTTTATACGGTTTTTTATTATCAGTTTGACGGTTTATATGCATAATGTAATGCAATATATGTTTATTCCCATTGTTAATGTAGTTGATATAGAAGAGGTATGTATTACTATTAAACACATGTGTATTAAAATTAACATGTGCAGTTATGTATTAATAATCTCTTTCTTGACATTTGACAATTATGTGTAACACGATATTTTTCATCTTAATGCTTGCTTTCAGATATACAAAATACCTTTGATTACATTAATAGTGAACGCTACAGTCACAATAAACATAATGTTCGCCTTGAGCGGCGTTCTACACGCATTTCAATTATTGAAAGACTTGGATCAAAATAAACAATTAAAATTTGTTAAAAATGTCGCATTGAGATACATGAGGTATGTACGTACACAAAGTATTCTATTTTAAGCTTCAGTCAAATATTTCGGAAGGTATGCAATGTTTCGAAAGCAAATGCTAGACGAAAGTAATAAAGCTTGCAAGGTGTATTTCATCCATTACGGTCGTTCAAAATTTTATTAAATTCATTATGTTTAAGTATTTTAGTGTCCTCAGCCGTTTCCAAATAGAATTCTATAATTCTTTCTCCCTCCTCTCTCTCTCTCTCTCTCTCTCTCTCTCTCTCTCTCTCTCTCTCTCTCTCTCTCTCTCTCTCTCTCTCTCTCTCTCGGTTTATTATTATAGGTGTAAAAGTTAATTTCAGTTTTAAAAATTCCGATGCAAAGCGAAGTGGATGCCATCGGTACGTGGCATGGAGCACGTAAAAGTAACTCCAAAGACGTGGGGCATAACATCACATGACGTCACGTCTATGTCATAAAAGAGGATATCATCATAATCACGACTCAAATATTCATTAATTATATATTAAAATTTTATGTATCAAATTATTCTTTCCGTTATTGAATCAATATCTGATGTTTACCAAAAGCATTATTGAGCCATTATTAACGTTGATTAAACCACTATTGACTTAAACCACTACCAAACGTCAAAGTACATCGATCCCAGAGACCAAACCACCCTATTCTTATGTACCATATTTTGGTTCGCTGAACACGAATCCGAGGTCAATTTTCCCCATCACATCCTGTTTTTTTTAAACCTTAAAAAAAGCTAAAAAATATCCAAAATCGTCTATTTGCTGCCTAAAAGGTAGACACGGGATTGATAATGAGTGCTAAAGCTATATTCCATTCTACCGTAACGTTTTTGAGACGCTGAAAAAATATTGTAATAGATTTATAGATCTAGGATTTTTTTTAACAAAAAAAATCGCCCAAAAGTCGTCAAAATGACATTCATTTGTTCAGATCTCATTCACAAAGTCTTTGAAAAGCAAATAAACAAACAGGTGGATCAAACTTGATCTTTTTTGTATTGTAAAATATATTTACAAAAAAAGAACATTTTTATTATTTTTTTTTTATGATAACGTACTCTCTTATTTTCAAAAGATCTGTGAAGTGGGTTTCTTTTATGTTTTACTCCTTTTCGTTCATACTCTCTTTTCAACATCCAACAGAAGTCAGCCTTCATGATCACATCCCATCGTCCTTGATATCTTCGCTCCATTTCTTTAATATCTTGGTGGAAACGTTCACCCTGCTCTTCACTGTAATGTGCTGAAATCTCTGGAAATTGATTTACGTGAGAATGCAAGAAATGCATCTTCAGGTTCATCAGGTATCCCAACTTATCGAAGTTGTCAATCACATCAGAGACTACTTGTTTATAGTTCTCGCTCTTGTGGTTACCTAAGAAGTTCTCAACAACTCCTTGAAAGCCAAGCCACGCCGACTTTTCAATGTTAGTCATCGTTGTAACAAAGATCTGGTCCCTCAACATTTTTCTATTTGCGGTCCATCAAAAATGCCTTCCTTCAATTTTGCATCGGTCATCTGTGGGAATTGTTTCCCCAAATATGCGAAGCATTTTCCATCTTTATCCAGGACATTTACAAATTGCTTCATGAGATCAAGCTTAATATGAAAAAGTGGAAGCAATATTTTTTTAGAGTCAACCAGCGGTTCTGCAATGATGTTATTTTTACCTGATTCAAACGATGCCCTTTTCGGCCATTTATGACGTGTATAGTGCTTGGCACGATCTCTACTGTCCCACAAGCATAAGTAGTAAGGTGTCTTTATAAAGCCTAATTGTTGTCCCAATATCATCTCTAGAACTTTAATATCTCCGCAAATTTGCCACTTGTGCGCTGAGTAATTAATTTTTTCAAGAACTAATTTGAGATTGCTGTACTCCTCTTTTAACTGCGTTGAATGTGCTACAGGTATTGGTGCATATACGTTGGTGTTATGAAGAAAAATGAACTAAAGCCAGGCATATACAAAGACGAAAATTGGAGACTATTTATTGATTCATTGAAACGAAGTTTAAAAGCTGTTCTTCTTCATGACACCAACGTATTATGTGTGTGAATTAATTCGGTCCGTTTTTACTTCCAAAAAAAGATTTTAGTATGAAAAAACATGAAAAAGTACACTAATAAAAATATTTCCCATCGCTTGCTATTATTTTTTCCCATCTGCCTGGCGGTTGTTGCATTCCGTGACGGAAAAACGACTCGTGCTTCAAAACGGTACATTGATTGAGCCATTACCCTATTTCTTTATAATTGTTGAAGTGCTGGTCCGAAAGCCCGTGTGCCATCGATCTGAACAAGTGATAATCGGATGGAGCAATGTCTGGTGAATACGGCGGGTGAAGTAAAACGTCCCAGCCAAGTACTTCCAAGGTGGCTTTTACAATCTTTCCAACATGTGGCCGAGCGTTATCGTGCTGGAAGATCACATTGTCGTGTCTCTTTGCATATTCCGGGCGCTTATTCTTCAATACGTTGTTTAAACGGATCAATTGTTGTTGATAAAGTTCGGCAGTGCCATTATGGTTTGGCTCTGTTTTAACAGTTCATGATATACTGCACCCTTGTAGTCCCACCATATACAGAGCATTACTTTCTTGCCGTGAATATTCCGCTTTGATATCGATGTGGATAGTTTTCCTGGGTCACTAATGGATTTCCTTCGTTTGAAGTTATCGAAATATATCCACTTTTCGTCTCCAGTCACAATACGATGCAAAACATTTTTTCTTTTTTCTTTTTTCTTTTTTACTTGATAAGCAAGATTTCAGACATGGCTTTTGCCTCTCGATGTCTCTTTCTTTCAGTTCGTATGGCACCCATCTTCCTTCTTTGTAAATCTTTCCCATGGCTGCCAAACACACAGAAATTATTGATCGATCAACACTCAACAATTGCGCGAGCTCATGTTGCGATTGACACGGATCTTCATCGATTAGCGCCTACAATTTCTCCTCCTCAATCTTCTTCGACTGACCTGGACGAGGTTTGTCATCAACACTGAAATCATCACTTTTGAAACGTCGAAACCATTCTCTTGATCTGATGATTTATCGGTGGAAGCACTTTCCCCATAAACTCCTACAAGCATTCGATGAGCTTCAGCGGCTGTTTTCTTCAAATGAAAACAGAAAATGAGAACTTCCCGGAAGTGATGCTTTTTTAGCTCGAATTTCGACATTTTCGAACCAGATAAACACGATGTTATTGTTACAAATCCAAACATTTATCAACTGAATATTATTGACAGATATCAAAACTAAAAAATAAAGCCTTTTGTAGACATTAGAGGTTAGAAAATTACATAGTACAGCAATTGACCGCCAGATAAACCGAGTTAATTCATACACCTAATATATGCACCAATATCTGTAGCACACTCAACGCAGTTAAAAGAGAAGTACAGTAATCTCAAACTAGTTCTTGAAAAAATTAATTATTCAGTCCACAAGTGGCAAATTTGCGGAGATATTAAAATTCTAGGGATGATATTGGGACAACAATCAGGCTTTATAAAGACACCTTGCTACTTATGCTTGTGGGACAGTAGAGATCGTGCCAAGCACTATACACGTCATAAATGGCCGAAAAAGACATCGTTTGAATCAGGTAAAAATAACATCATCGTAGAATCACTGGTTGACCCTAAAAAAATATTGCTTCCACCTCTTCATATTAAGCTTGGTCTCATGAAGCAATTTGTGAATGCCCTGGATAAAGATGGGAAATGTTTCAAATATTTGGCGAAACAATTTCCACAGATGACCGATGCAAAATTGAAGGAAAGCGTTTTTGATGGACCGCAATTTAAAAAAATGTTGAGAGACCAGATCTTTGTTACAACACTGACCAACACTGAAAAGTCGGCGTGACTTGGCTTTCAAGGAGTTGTTGAGAACTTCTTAGGTAACCATAAGAGCGAAAACTACAAACAAGTAGTCTCTGATATGGTTGACAACTTCGATAAGTTGGGATGCCTGATGAACCTGAAGATGCATTTCTTGCATTCTCACGTAAATCAATTTCCAGAGATTTTAGGACATTACAGTGAAGAGCAGGGTGAACGTTTTCACCAAGATATTAAAGAAATGGAGCGAAGATATCAAGGACGACGGGATGTGATCATGAAGACTTCTGTTGGATGTTGAAAGGAGAGTATGAACGAAAAGGAATAAAACGTAAAAGAAATCCACTTCACAGATTTTTTGAAAAATAAGAGAGTACGTTATCATAAAAGAGAATAATAAAATTGTTCTTTTTTTTAAATATACAAAAAAAAGATCGAGTTTGATCTACCTGTTTGTTTATTTGCTTTTCAAAGACTTTGTGAATGAGATCTAAACAAATGAATGTAATTTTGACGACTTTTGGGCGATTATTTTATGTTAAAAAAATCCTAGATCTATAAATCTATCACAATATTTTTTCAGTGTCCCAAAAAACATTACGGTAGAATGGAATATAGCTTTAGCACTCGTTACCAATCCCGTGTCTATCTTTTAGGCAGCAAATAGACCTTTTTGGATATTTTTTGGCTTTTTTCAAAGTTAAAAAAAACAAGATGTGATGGGGAAAAACTGACCTCGGATTCGTGTTCAGCGATCCAAAATATATAAGAATAGGGTGGTATGGTCTCTAGGATCGATCACTTTTTTTTTGTGGGGCTGTCCTATAGTTTAATAGTTGTTCAATATACGTTCAATGTTTATATTCACCACTTGCGAGCGGAACAAAACAATTGCGTTTTTTTAGTATGGTGTATTCTTTATCAATAAATGACATAGACGAATTATAGCAGAGAATACAAAATGTCTGTTAAATAGTTGGAACAAATCCGGAAAAGAGTTTGCAATTCTATGATACGAAGATATAAAGCGTGTGTAGAAATAGGCGTGTGTAGGAAATCTTTTGTAAACTTTGTAAACACCAGAAACGAGTAGATCACTTGCTTTAGTTAAATTAAATACTTCTTTATAACTCCGGCAATATTAATTTTTCGACCCATATTTATTAGAATCTTTTTCTCATTTTTTGTAAATATTATTTCTCCTTAAAGTCATGAACCCTTTTTTTTAGATATCTAGTATATGAGAATAGGACTCTATATGTACATGCCCAGATAGGACAAGAAATCATGACATCAAAATGACGTCAAAATGATGAGGAAGACTCATTTTTCATTCGGTTATTCTCTCATTATTTTGATGTCATTTTGATTTCATCATGATTTTCTGTTCTTCCTGGGTATGTGCCCACGTAACACATATGATTATTTACAGGTTAACGCCGTTATATGCTACAATAATTGGCTTCTACATTTGGATCCTTCCACTACTGGGATCCGGACCATTTTGGAATCATGTGGTCGAAGAATGCGCTCATTGTGCAAAAAATTGGTGGATAAATCTCTTGTACATTCACAATTACGTCGCAGTTTCGGAATTCGTAATGAAATTGTGTTTATATCAATCCGAATAATCTCCAAGAAATATCAATTAACGTGTAATTGACATGTAATTTCAGTGTGTCACCCACGGCTGGTATTTAGCAGCAGACTTTCAACTTTTTGTTTGCAGTCAATTTGTAATATATGCATTTTGGTGTATGCCGCGCAACATAGGGTATCCTTTTCTCGGGATATTAACATTAATAAGTTGCACTGTATCTTTTGTTGCCACTTACGTATATAATGCATCTTCCATCCTACGATTTACACCATAGTAAGTAATTTCTAATATTGATGCGCGTGTATAATTTTACTCCTAATTAGGCCGTATTCTAAAATTATCTTATTTAATTAGGTAGAGGAACAAATACAAATGAACAGTTCATCGACCTTAATAAATTACTCATTTTGTTTTATAGCGTAACAAAATTAGCAGATCTACCAGAATTCAAGGCATATTATATCAAAACACATATGTCTGCTACTGGATACCTTGTTGGTATAATAGCTGGTGCAATACTTCATGATCACAAAGGCAGTTCGTGGCGTTTGTCTAAGGTGAATATGTATTGTAATTTTAGCTGACTTTCATACCATTCTCATGAATGAGAGAAGAAAATGAGACACGAATGTAAAAATTACGCCTAAATAAAATATATCTTCATAAATAGCACCTGTTACAAACAAGTTTATTTGTTTAAATGCTTTTGTATTAGTCTTGTTTAAATATCGAGCATCCTTGCACCTTTTTTAAATGTAGATAATTCCACGTATATATTAGTTTCTAATGTAATGTAATGTGTCTCTTAATTGATATCCTAAATTTAAACGATACTATCATTTACATGCAAAAAGAAAAGAAAAGTTTAGGAGACAATGTTGACTGGCTAAATTTTCATTAGTAATTATAACCTGTGAAAACACTCATACAGCACAGAAGTTGCAGCAACATTGCAATATTGTTGCAATGTTGCAGTAATGTTGCTGCAACTTTTTGTGGTGTATGGACAGCTAAACTAACTATTGTCGAGAGCTTTCCAATTTAAATTTTAACGAAAAATAACGGTACATTAGTAAGTACCAATTGGAAAACATTATGTATGTACATAATTTATATTATATTACTTTTTCAGTTCTGATCAAACATCTTGGTTTGTCCGATGCCTGTGGTTTTATATGTCGCCATCCAATATTGGGCGCATAAATTTTTTATATTGAGCAAACCGAATCTGTTGGAAGAAGCAATTTTTGCATTTTTCCAAAGGCTTATTCCCGCCTTGTGCACATGTTCTATAATAGTTTTGTCATCCACCAGCACTCAATCAAGTATGATATATACATTGTAAAATGTTTGATGTTTATTTTAAGTTATGATTTACACTATTGTCAAAAGATTTAAGAAACACGAGACAAATTATTGTTTCTGTATATTAGTAATCATAATACTAGCTTGTCTTACGAGTAAGATTACCAGAGGAGTTCGTCAAGAAAAAAGTAGACTGAGTATGCAAAACATATAAAAAGAAAGTCATCCAAATTTCGGGTAGCTAAAAAAAGTTCACAAGTTTCGAGTAGCTAAAAAAGATTATAATTTTCCTTAAATATCTCAAAAAATATTAGGCAAATAAAAAAATATTTCAGACAAAAGTTATTTAAATTAATTGGTAGAAAAAGATGGTATAATAAAAAATTGGGGTTTCCATTTAAGAGAAATAATGATCAGTGAATATTACGAAAGTAGTGCTATTTGTAAACAATATAGTATAGTTATTTTATGTCCTCCTTGAGATCATATAACTTTCGTTCGAAACATTTTTGCTGAAAATGTTTCATTGAAGAATTATCGAAGAATTATGCGTTTTTTTTAATGGGACACCCTGTATATGTTACCGGCAAGATATGGCAATTTCAGGTTTATATTATAATCAAATAGTTTGAACTTGGTCTAATTTATTTTATTTTCAAAGGAAATGTTAATTATACATCAATATTTATCTTTCCTATAGCTACTTTGGTAATTACTACCGTTATATTATTATGTCGGTTGTAAAATGTCAAAATTATTTCGGATTCTGCTATTATATCTCCTATGTTTCATCTCACAGAATTTTACCACCGTTTCTTTACACCTCGTTGGATACAGCCATTAGCAAATTTAACTTATGGAGTTTACATAGTACATTTTATATTTCTTATATCTGACATGGGACAAACAAAAACTGCAAAAACGTTTAGCGTTTTTAAATCAGTAAGTATGAAAAAATTAATATACATATACAATTCTTCTAATTACCTTTAGAAATAAAATTGAGAACATGCAGGGCGTATCACAGAACCGTAAGAGTTAATATCTATTGCACTCCAGATAGTAAAAAAAATGGTGTAAGGAAAAGTTGAATAGTTTAATAAGCACTATTTTCTTATTTGTGCAATAATAAATCAGAAAGATGTAATTCTATTTTTATTTTAAATAGAACTTCTCAAATTTTTTGTACAAGTTGATTCCTTAAAATATCTTGCACAAAAAAATAATAGAATAAGATGACTAGAAAATGAGTAGTTAATGATATATTTCAGATTTATTAAAGTAAATGTTCGAACGTTCCATTATCATACAACAAACATTTGGCATCAAAGGTCTATAGGAATATTACGGACATTGTTTGTAAATACGTATTTATAAACAATGTCTGTAATATCCCTCTAGACCTTTGATGTCAAATGTTTATACTTTAATAAATTTCAAATATCTCATTAACTATATACTTACTTTTTGGCCATCTGTTGGTCCAACGTCCCTATGTTTTTACGCAGAATATTTTAAGGAATCAATTTATATAAAAAAATTAAGAAAGCTGTATTTAAAACAAAAATTGTTCTGGTCAACAAAATTATTGTGTCAACAAAAAAAATTGATTTCATTAGAAAATAAATGCTCATTAAGCCTCTCATTCAACTTTTCTTTGCACCATTTTTTCTACTGCCTAAAATGCAATAGATATTAACTGTTACATATCGTCGTACATCAATACTGACAAATGTTTGTTGTGTAATGGTAGAATGTTCGAATATTTATTTTAAATCTGAAATATCTGAAATCTGAAATATCTCATTAATTACCCATTTTACGGTTGTCTTACACTCTTATAATACTTTTATGCAGAATATTTTAAAGAATCGACTTACAACAAAAAAATCGCAATGGTTCTGTTTGAAATAGAAATGCAGTTGTATTTTTCTGATACATTATTGCATCAACAACAAAATTGACTTCATAAGAAAATAGTATTCAATTAAGCCATTCAACTTTCCTTTATATCATTTTCTCTACTATCTAAAGTGCATTAGATGTTAACTGTTACAGTTCTATGAAACACTCTATATATCATGCATTATTAATAGTTTGTCTATTTATTATATGTAATAATTTTTTATCTAGATATTGGAAACCATTCCGGTGCTGCTACTTTCTTACATGATTTCTTTACTTCTTGCAATATGCATCGAGATGCCATTTAAAAGTTTAACAAAATGGTTATTCCTTAAAAACAACACACCTAATATAAATGAGAGGTACTTTAATAATAAATTTCTTTTGTACATATAAAACTAATAAGAGTAAGTACGTGTAAAAGTACATATAAACTAATAAATTTTTTTTCTAGGATACCCGGGAACAAAGTAATAAAAATGGAATGATTATGTTATGTCTAGATTTCGCCAAGGACGAAAAATTGGAGAAAGCACGATTATTTTTCGTGATCCAAGTTTTCTTGTAAATGGGAGTCGATCAAGCGCCGCGGTCGCAGCGCGACGCCGAGTACATATGAAACACAAACGACCGTGGTAGCTTTTCCGGAATTTCGGAGGATCGATTGGTTTTCCGAGTCAAATATCTCAAGCATGGAAATTATAATCAACAATCCGATAACATTTTTCTTATATAATGTCTATCTTACATATAATTTGCAACAAGCCCGATCAAGATTGATGCAGGAAATAAAGAGATCTCGAAATCTCATCTACAAAAAGGTCCTTTTCTTTCGCGAAGAATTTTAAAATTTCAGATCTCACATATATGCACACAAGCAAATCGAGTTTGTTCATGAAGCTGCATTTGCACTGCCACGCGATGTCAGCTTCAGATTACACGTATATGCACGGACACAAGTAATGCGAGTTTATTATCAAATGTGTTTGCAACATACAGGTTGAAATAAAATAAGCATTTCATTATCTCTGCGTTCGCTTTAGATGCTTACGCATTATTTATCTAAGCGTCATTCTATTCGTTATTGCTCATTATACAGGATGGGAGGTTATAAGTTTACAAACCGAAATGTGAAGATAGATTGGGTTAAGACAAACATAAAAGTCCCATACCGTTTTGCGACATTCATAATAATTATCGAGTTATTAATGACAGAAATCTGAGGAATGGGAGCGCGTCGACATAGATGATTGGAGAAGCGTTGCAGCTACTCAGGCCACAACGCGGCCCACTCGACCCAACAACTGTTGGCGGCGTGCGGCGAGACGTAGGTCCGGCGAGATAAAACAACGAATAGCAGCGCATTATCTTTCCCCTCGCCGCGCACCGGCAACAGTTTCTGAATCGATTGGGCCGCGCTGCGGCCTAACCAGCTGCAACGCTTCTCCGATTATTTACGCCGGCGCACTCTCACTCCTCAGATTTCTGTCATTAATAACTCGATAATTATTGCGAATCTCGCAAAATGGTATGGAACTTTTATGTTTGTCTTAACCCAATCTATCTTCACATTTCGGTTTGTAAACTTATAACCCCCCACCCTGTATACGGAAGAAAGTTTCTTGAAGGACCGATTGATTTAGAATCAAATCGCGCTTCTTTCAGTCAAATTTTCTCTTGCCGAACCGAATATTTTCATTTTAGATAATAGTTAAATAGTTAAATAGTTAAATATAATTTAGGCACGGATATACAGGGTGTTTCAGAACTTTGGGACACGAGCTCAGTAGGGACATAGAGCTAAATGAGAAGAACAAAAAAGTCCTGTACCATAATGTGAAAATCGTAATAGTTTTTTAGTAATAACCGCGTAAAGTTTGGCGTTTTCCACGCCCATCGCGGCCTATAGACGCTCCGCGGCAAGCTGTATGCGTAGGGGCTGAGCGATAACGCGTTTCGCGCTGACTGTCGCGATGGCGTCTTGGCGCTTTGATGTCGCGCGCCGGTCAGCGCGAGTTGCGTTATCGCTCAGCCCTACGTATACAGCTTGCCGCGGAGCGTCTATAGGCTGCGCTGGGCGTGGAAAACGCCAAACTTTACGCGGTTATTACTAAAAAACTATTACGATTTTCACATTATGGTAGAGGAATTTTTTGTTCCTCTCACTTAGCTCTATGTCCGTACGGAGCCCGTGTCCCAAAGTTCTGAGACACCCTGTATATAAAATCATTAGTGCAATTTTCCACAATGGTGGAAACATAACTGATGGACATTATACAAACGTTGTGCGTGTTAAGTGCACAGAATGGATTTTAATTAATAATTCTAAAATAAAAAAACATAGTTGGCCTCGAAATTCCAAAAATGCATATATTTTCTTTGCTGAAAAAGAGTAATATAATAAGATTTGTACATAAATAATTTACACAAAAAGCAATGAAATTGTAACGCTCCGCCCTCCCGCCGCTCGTCTCTCCTCGCTCCATTCTCGCGAGTGTAACGAGTCGCGGGTCGGAGGGTCTCGGTTCGCTTCGGTCTCGATCGGTCTCCCGCCGCCGCTCGTGCCTTCTTGCTGCGGACCGTCGGACGGGTGTTCGCTGCAGGATTTTTGGGAAGGATTTTAAATGACTGCTCTGATCTTGATTTAGCTCGGTTCTGCCTAAAATTCTCCGAGTTTCTCGCTCGGCTGTACAGTGGTTTTATTTGTTTCGGTTCTTCTTATACTTCTTATTTGCCGTACACCTGTCCGCGTAACAGAACGATTATTGATACGGCTCACACTGGAGGTCTTTCGACGTTTCGCGACGAAAGTTCGAATTCGCCTCGGGCAGTGTTTACCAAGTCGCAAGCCGCGGATCTCGACCGGACGCGAGATCTGTCACTGTTTGACGAGGGTCAGCTGTGCGTCGCCGGCGAAACAATAAGATGCGTCTGATTCCCGAAAACGTGAAATAATGAGATGATACACCTGCGATAAACCTAAGATACGGGTTAATTTCGCTGTTTCTTTTGAATCACAACTCGACGGTGATATGGTGCGGTTTTTCTCGGCCCGAAGAAGCGCTGGTAAATAAATAATAATATTCGGCGGATTACACTTGTATATCGCGAGCTCCGAGACCCGTGGAATATGTTTGGGCGCGTTAATTGCGTCGGAAACAAACGCGCCGGTGATCGAGGCCCGCTATTCGGACGGTTAGCAGATAGACTGATAATCTAACGCTTCTCCTTTCATAACATCGGCGTACGCGTCTTATCGGCTCCGCGTTTATTTTCGCTACAGGTACTTAATCTAAGTCGGCGCGGCGGCTAACTGCTGCCTAACGTCGACGGACGAGCACTTAGAATCGCGGAACAGTGGCTAACTGCTGCCATTCTTTCGGAAACAGAAACTTATTCTAAGTCGGTGCGAAGACTAACTGCTACCTAACGTCGACGGACGAGCACTTAGAATCGCGGAACGGCTAACTGCTGCCGTTCTCTCGAAACAGAACTTATCCTAAGACGGATCCTGGTGGATCGTATTCGTGGAACGCTAGGCGTCCGTTTAGCGCGTGCCGCCGGGTCTTGTAAGATTCTCCCGATGATGCGGTACTTGAAGAAATTACTCACCAGCGTTTGGCCGTGCTTCCCGGACTCTCTGTTCGCTTTACTGATCCTGGTCCTCCTCGGTCTTCTCGTCGGGTGCCTCTTCTCGCCAGGGAGCTCTGCTCTGTAGACTGTCTCGCTTTGAGACGACGACTCTCCCGATCTCGGTGAGAGAACGGGTTATATATCCTTAAAATCGAGAGTCGAAAGCGGAAGGGGTTATCCCCTCAAATTTCCGCGAAATTTGCGCATGCAGATTTTGGGATTACCCCTTTTTGCGTCTTGATCCCGATTTTTCCCGAGCGGGCGAGCGATCGCTCGTAATCTTTCGGCGCTCGAGCCTTAGTGCCGCAGCACTGATGGTCGGTGCGGTGCGGGGATGTTAGCGGCGGTGTTCGATCGCGCGGCGACCGATCGTCGTCATCGCGCGATTCGTAACGGGGACAAGGGACTCCTTGTCCCTCGTTACAAAATCATAACAAAAACTCTTTACAAAAGAAAAAAAAAACGCCGAGTATATATGAAAAGAAGTACCAAACCAAAAATATAATAAGAAAAACATATTAAAACTAAACATACCTGTTCGGAACAAGACCGAACATAGAATAGCTCCGGAGAGCTGGCTGGTGAATTGGATCGCAGAATGATGTTCGCCTGCGACTATGTCGCTCGAGCAACTCGACGACCGACCGCTCGTCCTAGTTGACACCTTAGGGGTGTCGCAGGGTGGCCACCGGCCGCGCAGAAACGCGCAACACTGCCTGCCGACTGCACCGTGCTCAGGGACAGCGGCGAAAGCAAGAGAGAGGAAGGACACTCACATGCCGACGTAATGAGGCACGCGATGTAAAAACGCAACGGACGCAATGGACGCAGTAAGAACGCAAATGGAATAACGCAGAAGAATGACGCAGAAGGGACGCAGTAGAAACGCAGAAGAGAATAAGCACAGCTATTTACAAGGCGAAAACCGTTCGCCTACGCAAAGTTCCGTAGGACACACACGTCTGTGACGTCAACGGTGTGCGACACCCGGAGCGCGTCAAGTACGTGTAACAAAACGACCTCCGTCGTTTCGGAAGGCCTGCCCTTCCGGACGTAACGGCCTACAGTCAGTCACGGTCCCGAGGACGCGTGGAAGAGAGCACTGAGCTCTCACTTTAGCTCGTAGGGCGACCGAGTCGCTCCTGCGAGAAAGCGAAATTTCCCTACGGACACTTGGAAGAAAGAGCTCGAAGCTCTAGAGACGGTGACCGAGCCGCCTCTAAATCGTCAAGGTCCCCGACGGGCGCTTGGGAAATAAGGGAGCTCGAAGCTCCGAGGAGACGGTCGAGTCGCTCCTAAATCATGGCAACGCCGTGAGCACGAGATCAGAAGACGAGATTCGAACCATTAGCCTCAACCCAGCAGGGTGTGTCGGCGCCGCCTTCAACTCAGCAGAGTGTATAGAGCGGTGGTTCGAATCCGAACCACGTACGTAAGAACAGATCGCTCTAGGAAATCCCAGAAAGTGCGGCGGTAACCACCAGTACGACAATCGCACTAAAAAGCAGCACAGGTTTGCTACTGAAAATGGCCAAGCTGAAATCCTGCAGCAGGCAAGGCAAGGCGGAATAAGGCACGGCGCGCCCGGTTATACAGGGTGATTCAAAACAACCTTCCATTATTAAAAGTATAAAATCCTGATAAAATTCTAAAGCAACTTTTCCTCTTATAAAATTTTGGCAAAAGCTTAGATTTTAAATTATTAAAAAAAGTAGTAGACCTATTGCGGGTCGGGTACGGGAGGTAGACAGGTGCGGCGCAATTCACCGTCAGACGTGGGCGCTAACGCGGAGTACCCGCAGCAATCAGCTGATCACACTACACATGTTATACACTAGCTACGTTCCAATATTCATTGCCAGCATAAAAATCTGTATTTTCTGTGACGTTAGGTGATTGTTATAACGGGCAAAAATTTTGGAAAACAGACTCGGAGAGACCGAGAACGTGCTTACATGTGTGTGCGCGTACAATCCTGGCTGTTTTCCAAAATTTTTGCCCGTTATAACAATCACCTAACGTCACAGAAAATACAAATTTTTATGTTGGCAATGAATATTGGAACATAGCTAGTGTATAACATGTGTAGTGTGATCAGCTGATTGCTGCGGGTACTCCGCGTTAGCACCCACGTCTGACGGTGAGTTGCGCCGCACCTGTCTACCTCCCGTACCCGACCCGCAATAGATCTACTACTTTTTTTAATAATTTAAAATTTAAGTTTTTGCCAAAATTTTGCAAGAGGAAAAGTTGTTTTAGAATTTTATCAGGATTTTATACTTTTAATAATGGAAGGTTGTTTTGAATCACTCTGTATAGCCCAGCGGCCGAATCTTGTCTGCGGGCAGTGGAGTCGCGGGCCACGCCGTTTAGCGGCCGCGGTCAGACCTAC